GGTCCCGCTGGGGAGCTGCTCTCCGGTGCCCAAGGCGGCGGGTGCTGGCGAGAATGAGGCGCTTGGCCTTCACCAGCGCTCCGTTCCCGGTGACGCCGCCGTTCTCGATGTGCAGACATGGTGGCGCAGGCACTGGAGCTGTCCCGTAAACCCCACGTCGTCATCGCTACGCCCGGCAGGCTGGCTGATCACCTCCGCAGTTCCAACACTTTCAGCCTTAAAAAACTAAAGTTCTTGGTAAGGCAGTTCCCCAGGCGCTTTTTTTTCTTGATGCTTTTGAGGTTTGTAGCTTTGTGGGGGTGCGTGCGAATAAGCTCAGTGTTTGCGGCCATGCCTAGGTTCTGGATGAGGCTGACCGGCTGCTGGAGCAGGGCTGCACTGACTTCACCGCGGACCTGGAGGTGATTCTGGAGGCCGTCCCAGCACGCAGACAAACGCTGCTGTTCAGCGCCACGCTGACCGATACGCTGAAAGAGCTGAAGGGCCTGGCCAGGAACAGACCCTTCTTCTGGGAGGCTGTGTCCGAGTAAGTCCCCATCCGCTCTGCTGAGCGGGTGAGGAATCCCGTCTCCTCTCTGCTGTCTTCTCTCCTGGCTGTCTTTCACCTCCCTCGTGTTCCACCTTCACTTGCCAAACCGGCGCTTTGTCTTCCCCTCCCGGAAGGGTGCGGACGGTGGATGAGTTGGACCAGCGCTACTTGCTGGTACCTGAAGCGCTGAAGGACGCGTACCTCGTGCATCTGATCCAGACCTTCCAGGACGAGCACGAAGATTGGTCTGTCATTGTCTTCACCAAAACCTGCAAGTGAGTGGCACCGTTCCTCCTGGTGGCTCTTAACGCGTGCGTGACTTTACATTTCTAGTTCCGATTCCAGACCCGCACTATGCTGGGTGTTAGGCTGGGATGGTATTTGCTTCTTTAGTCTATTCTGACATTTGGTAGAGAAACACCTTTTCCTTGGGGCGAGCGGGCGTGGGGTGGGTGTCCCGCTCCCTGCCTCTGTCAGGGCGTGTCGGTGACTAACTGCGCTGTGGTGCTGCAGGGTGAGGGCTCCTCGGGGAGCCCCAGCTCTGTCCTGGCCCATCAGCTTCACGTTTCCCTGGTATATTTTGATTACTTATTTTTTTCCTTTTCCTTCAAGGGACTGCCAGGTCTTGAACATGATGCTTAGGAAATTCAGCTTTCCTTCTGTAGCTCTGCATTCCATGATGAAGCAGGTGAGCGCTGGCCAGGTCTGGGAGGTGGATGCTTCCAGCTGCATCCCTGAGCCCGGCGTCTGTCCAGGTCCTGCAGCTCCCCTGGGTCACAGCGTCCCTCACAGAGGTTTTCTCTTCACAGCGGCAACGATTCGCAGCTTTAGCAAAGTTCAAGTCCAGCATCTTTAAGATTCTCATTGCCACTGATGTTGCTGCCAGGTAAGGATAGAACACGGTCTCTGTTGCCAGAGGTCTTCAGCCTGCCTTCCAAGCACCAGAACCACTGTGGAGGTTAGGCTGGGTTTAGCAAGAGGAGAGCTTTAAGATCCCCGTGCTTGGGTAGGACAAGGTTGTTCGCTTCTGCTGTGCAACATCTCTGAGCTGTGTTTTGGAGCCCACTTGTGTGTGATGTAGCTCTGATTATGGCTTGCTTTCTGTGGCGGGGGGAGGATTTGTTGCAGGAGAGTGATTTCTGTGAGGCTTAGAGTGTTCCCTGGGCCTAGGAGGGAACAGCAGGCTGCAAGGCGACACTGTGTTTTGTGTCGCCCTGGGGAGTTCCGTGAGGAGAGGGTTTGTCTTGGAATTAGCCTGATCCAGTAAAGACTGTATTTGTGAGAATGTGGGGCCCTTTGGGAAAGCAGAGGACAGGAGCTTGAACTGCAGTCATTAAAACAGTGCTTCTCAACCCCTGTGCTCTTTGCATTCCAGAGGTCTGGACATTCCTGCAGTGCAAGTTGTCATCAATCACAACACTCCCGGCCTGCCGAAAATCTACATTCACCGGGTTGGCCGGACAGCCCGGGCGGGTGAGCAGGGAAAACCACGTGCTGTTTGCTGGGCCAAACTGGGATCCCAGTGCTGGGGCTGAGCCCTGGATGGGGGCGAGGAGGCTTCACAGCAGCTGCGGTGCAGCCTTTTTGGTCAGCACCAGGTCTCCTCAGAGCACCAGCTCAGCACCCTGCCTTCAGATCGCAGCGGTGGCTCAGCCTGACTCGGGTCTGCTCTGCACCAATAGTTAGCTGATTTTTCAGAGCAATTAAAGACCCCTCTGAGCACCCTGTCACTGTAATGTGCTGGGCTGACTCTCGGGGATGGATGGAATTTGGCACGGGTTAGGCTTCATCTCCCTCTGCTTGTCAAGATTGATCTGTCACTGTGTTCTCATCATCCAGGTCGGAAAGGAATAGCGATTACACTGGTGACGCAGTACGACATCCATCTCGTACACGCCATTGAGGAGGAAATCAGTAAGTAGAGCACCATTAGTGCTACTAAAACCTGGGATCATGCATGTTCCTCTGCGCTGGTGGTACCTGCAGCACGGATTCCATCAGCGCAGAATGCGTGATCCAGAGCAGCAGCATAAAAGTGGTTTCTCTTCCGTGTGTGGCTAAGGTGTGGGGAGGAGCAGGAGCACTTGGGTCTCTGTCAGCTTGGATTCTGCTCTGGAGTGTGCCAGGCATGCATGTGTTTGGTTTCCTGCTGCTTCTAGTGGAGGAGGAACAGTGTGCTAAACTTCCTCCGCAACCTTTTTATTAAAGCAGCCAGCTTCTTCCTTACCGCCTTGCTCCTGTGTGTGCTGAGGTGGACGAAAAGAACAGGTTGCTTTGCGTAGGTTCAGACTTCCTATTTTTTTAGGAAGTGACCTAATGAATGCAACATCTTGTGATGGGGGGAGTGGTAGGCAGAGGGGGGGATTTCATCCTTTGCTGTAGGCTGAAGAAGTCAGAGTGATCGCAGCATATGACAACATTTCTACTGATAACCAGAGGAGCTATACTGGGTTTTTTACTAGTTGAGAATCTGCCCCTGGATTTTGTAACCGACCATGGTCTGTAAATGTCTCGCCCTGATTTAGAACTGAAGCTGCAGGAGTTCTCTGCGGAGGAGCGGTTTGTGCTCGACATCCTCACCCACGTGAACATCACCAGGAGGGAATGTGAAATCGTAAGTGTGCGAACGTGAAGCCCCTTTGTTCCGGGGGCTGGAGGTCCTGCGCGGCTGGGCGTAACTGGGAGATGCGCTGCAGTCTAACGCGCGGCTCTGGATACGCAGCTTTGCTCTTGAGCGTGTCAGTAAGGATCTTTGTTCCTTCTCACAGAATCACAGAATGGTAGGGGTTGGAAGGGACCTCTGTGGGTCACCCAGTCCAACCCTCCTGCCGAAGCAGGGTCACCCAGAGCAGGCTGTAGAGGACCTTGTCCAAGCAGGTCTGGAATATCTCCAGAGAAGGAGACTCCACAGCCTCCCTGGGCAGCCTGGGCCAGGGCTCCGTCACCCTCAGAGGGAAGAAATTCTTCCTCATATTCAGACGGAACTTCCTCTGCTTCAGTTTGTGCCCTTCCTAGTGGAAGCACATAGACCTGTGTGCGGGGAGGGCCGTTTTAGTTCTCTTCCCTAGGCTTGCTCTATTACTGCACATTTTTGCAGCATTTTAGTGCTGCGGGGTGTTGAGGCTGGAGGCTGGTGCCTTGGGGGGAAGGTCTGCGGGCTACCAAACGTGTGCGCGCTGCGGAGGCTCCGCTGACTCTTCTGAGCCGTGCTGCTTTTCTCCGTGTCAGACTCCGCGCTTGGTGACTGACTGCCCTGCTGTATTTTTGCTTTGACAGAAACTGGAGGCAATGGATTTTGATGAGAAGAAAGAAATCAATAAGCGGAAACAAATGATCCTTGAAGGGAAGGTGAGAGCTGCTGCTCTGTAAACTGCTTTGATCAGTAGCTGGTATGATGCCATCGACATGAAACAGAAATCACAGTTCCTCCATCGCTGCTGGGGTGTGTCGCCTCACTCCCCTTCAGGGTGGCGAAGTTTTTTCTTAAAGGGTGACTGATATTAAAAAGTGCATTGGAGTAGTGTCTGGCTTTTGCAGCCTACTCGGTCACGGGCTGGAAAGCAGCGTGGGCATCTAGGAAAGGCAACGGGGCTGGCGCTGTCCCTCGGCGTGTCACTAGTGTCCTGGCATTTGCTATTGCAGGATCCAGACTTGGAGGCAAAAAGGAAGGCAGAGCTGGCGAAGATCAGGAAGAAAAACAAGCAGTGCCGTGAGAAGGTCCAGCAGGCACTGCAGAAGCAAAAGGAACTGCAACTGAAGAGGAGACTGCAGAAGAAGATGGAGCGGCAGAACAAACTGCGTGCTAAGGAAGAGAAATAACATCCTCTGGCCTGGCTTGCTTGGCTCAGACTGCCCTGACCTTGCTGCTGCTTTGGGAATACTGGGACCTGACATGGTTTAAGGTGGACACTTTGGACCTGAATCAGGGTTGGAGAGTAGGGGGGAGGTGGGTGAGAGGAGAAGGGATGCTTTGATAAAGTGCCTCCACTATTTTTCCTTCCTGCACAATGCTGCTGGCTTGGGCCATTCCTGGCAGGCTGGATCAGTCTCCTGGAGGAATGTCTTTCAAGAACATGTTTCCTTCCTCCAGCAAAGGAGAGGCCAGGCCTGAATTCTTGGTGACGTGAAGGGAAATAAAGATCCTCTCTTCTCTTCCCCCTTCATTCAGTCATTGCTCTTTCTTTTTCAAGGGCTGGTGCTTGCCACTCACACTTGTTTATATCAACAGATTCTCCCCTGAGCCAGAGTCTAAAAATACCGTTGACGAAATGAGCTCAGCCCTTATCTGTGCCATAGCCCAGAGTTCTCTGAGAGGAAAATTCCTGGAATGTGGGGAGGTGGTATTGTGTGGCTGGTCCTGGGGTCTTCTTGGGGTAATTCTGCTTTATCCATTGAAGTGATGCTCTTGCCTGCGGTTGTCTGCCTCGGCTCAGGCTCCAGCCCTGGGCTGCTGTCTGCAGGGATAGCAGAGCCGTGGTCTGGGACCAGGGCTGCTGGGGACTCTGTTGTCCCAGATGATGGGTTGGTTCAAAGACCGTTTCTGGCACAGAAGAAGAACCCCAGGGGCAGGATTGCCTTGTTTCCTCTGCC